CTGTGAAGTATGAAAAATGAGAGGACATTCTAAAGAAAATTGTTACAAAGTTGTAGGCTATCCTCCTGAATATAGGTCAAGGAAAAGGAACACAAATACACACAGTGCTTACAATGTGTTATCTGATATTGGTATACAGGGTAATCCGGTGTCTAGCAGCAATTAAATTGAGAACAGTTCTCAAAATTCTCAACTAACAAGCAGTGCAATGAGTGTTAACAATCCTCAGAACATTGGACAAGTAACCAATACTCCTTGGATGGCAAATTTCACTTTCACTAAAGAACAGTATGATCACATTGTGCAACTACTCAACAAAGATAATTCAACTTCTACTACTACTACAGCAACACCAGCAGCTAACGTAGCAGGTATTCCTTGTGCTCTATTAGCCTCTAATAATCTTCAAGAATGGATTATAGACACAGGAGCTACAAATCATATGGTAGCTGATTTAGAATTGTTAAATAAGGCATCCTTAATACAAACAAATCAGCAAAAGAAAGTACACTTGCCTAATGGAGAAACTACTCAAGTTACTCATATTGGAACTAGTGAATTAACAGAATAGGACACTATAACTAATGTGTTCTACATCCCTCAGTTTAAGTATAATCTCTTATCTGTCTCTAAAGTAACAAAAGAAATGAAATGTTCAGTTGCTTTCTTCCCTGATTTTTGTATATTTCAGGAACTCTTCAGTGGGAGGATGAAAGCGATTGGTAGAGAAGACATTGGTTTATACATTCTCAGTAGACAAAAATTACCAGGAAATAATGCAATTAGTTTAAACACTAAGGAGACAGGAATCAGTAAAGAAGTTAATTCAAATGACATTGATCTTTGGCATAGGAGACTTGGACATGTATCTGCTACTGTTCTCAAGAAGCTACTATCTGCAAATGCACAAGACATATCTGCTAGATTAGATCTATGTACTACTTGTCCTTGTGCAAAGCAAACTAGAAATCCTTTTCCTATCAGTAGCATAAGAACTTCTACTATTTTTGAGTTAGTTTATATGGATTTGTGGGGTCCTTACAGAATCTCTACTGTTGACGTAATAGATTCTTTCTAACTGTAGTAGATGATTTTTCTAGGATGACATGGATTTTCTTGTTGAAATTGAAGTATGATGTGTGTATGGTTGTACAACAATTTTTTAGCTTTGTGAAAACACAGTTTGGAGCAATTGTTAAAACAGTCAGGACTGATAATGGCACAGAGTTTGTTAATTCAATTTGTGAGAATTTCTTTAAGAATCTAGGAGTAATTCATCAAAAGACATGTCCTTATACTTCTCAGCAAAATGGAGTAGCTGAGAGAAAGCATAGACATATCTTAGAACTCTCTAGAGTTATAAGGTTTCAAGCAAATATACCAATCAAATTCTGGGGATATTGTGTACTTGCTGCAGTATATATTATTAACAGATTGCCTAGTTCTGTAATTGATAATAAGAGTCATTATGAAAGACTATATAACAGAAAACCTACACTACAACATCTTAAGGTTATAGGCTGTTTATGCTATGCAAAATTGGTTAATCAGAATGATAACTAATGCCTAGAGCAGAACCTTCTGTTCCCATGGGATATGCTACAGATCAAAAAGGATATGTGTTATATGATCTAATAGATAAAAGATTCTTTGTAAGCAGAGATGTTCAGTTTAGAGAAGACATATTTTCTTTTTAAAACAAATAGGACAATAACAAATCTGTGTTTATTCAACCAAACATAACAGACATACTCTTATATATAATAGATCCAATACCCCAAACTACAACTCTAGAAGGTCACATGTATTCAAATCAACAAGAAGATCCAATTACACCTGAAATTACACAATAGTTCACACAATATTTTGAACCCAACTCTACAGAAGTTGTACAGACTAACAATCAACAAATCTCAGTCATACAACAAACAGATCAAATTCCACAATCAATTACTAGTCAATTAAACATAAGAAAGTCAGGCAGAGGAAAGAAACCACCTATATGGATGAAAGATTTTGTGTCATTAACTGCACAATAGAATGAACCATATGCAATATCAAAGTACTTAACCAATGAACACTTAAGTCCTACATATCAAGCCTACTTAACAGAAACCTCAAATACTACTGAACCAACTCTATATTCTGAAGCTATAAAGGATCCTAAGTGGATAGATGCTATGAAGGCTGAGATTGAAGCCCTTCAAAATAATCACACATAGGACATAGTAACTCTGCCTAAAGGTAAGACTCCTATAGTTTGTAAGTGGATATACAAAATCAAATATAAGGCATCTGGTGAAATAGAAAGATTTAAAGCTAGACTAGTAGCTAAGGGATTCAGTCAAAAGGAAGGGATAGATTATCAAGAAACCTTCTCTCCAGTTATCAAAATGAAAACTGTCATAACTATATTAGCTATAGCTGCTACAAAACACTGGCATATATATCAAATGGATGTATATAATACATTCTTACAGGGAGATTTATTAGACGAGATATATATGGATTTGCCCCAAGGATTCACAAGTCAGGGGGAGAATAAAGTATGCAGACTTGTCAAATCCTTATATGGATTGAAACAAGCTCCTAAGCAATGGAATGCTAAACTAACAGAAGCTCTTCTAAAGTCTCAATTTCAGCAAAGTCAATATGATCAGTCCTTGTTCTTTAAGAAAACTGCAGAAGGTATCACAATGGTACTAATATATGTAGATGACATGCTTATAACTAATGATTCCCTGAAATTAATAAAGGAAACTAAATCACATCTACAACAATCCTTTAAGATGAAAGACCTAGGGGAATTAAAGTATTTTCTAGGTATAGAATTTGCTAGATCAAAACAAGGAATTCTCATGCACCAGAGAAAAATATGCACTAGAATTGATTTAGTTCAAAAACTACAGTAAAAGCATAGAATTTTTTTAATTTAAACAAATTTTACTTTAAAATTCTTAATGTTGATTTAGCCCAATATAATATTGCTATAGGTAAGAGAATTTTGGACAATTTATTAAAAGTTATAAATGACAATTTTTTGTCTACTAAAACACTAACGTAGGGGAAGTCTTGGTAATACTTTACCCAAATTAAAAGTGAATATATCTTTAGTGCGCAGATTATAATTAGGATAGTGTATAATTAGTTTTGGTTTGTTCTTTAGCAAAATAGTAGTAGTTTAATTAGGCTATAGCTTTTCTTTTCAAAGTTTCAAGTCAACGCGAGGAAAATATATAACGTGAAATCTGGGTTTTTTAAAAAAAGGAATTCTAAATAGTTCTAGATCCATGTTTACTGCGTATATTAGTGTTTCTTGGATCTGGAAAGGTATTGTCAACTCTAAGTTGTGTGAGCATAAGCTAATGTCATTTCCAAATTCCAACTCATCAAGAAGAAAATAATCGAAATCTAACATCAGCATAAATTTGTTTAATCCTTAAAAACAACCACGTGTGTTTTTTTTTCATTGATTTTCTAATGTTTGATTCCGCAATTCGTAGGATGCACAACGTGTAATTAATGCAGAGCAGAACTTCTAGGATAATTAAATCAAAAGTTACCTAAAGTCATAAGCTTGAATGTTATAGTATAAACATGCTGTATAGATTACCTTGCTAAGTTCTAATTAATCATTACATTTTGCTGGACTTACTATGTATGTTATATTTAATTGCAAAGATCCCATCTTGAATTCCCTATTTTCGGCCGTAGAAAAGGCAAGAATAGCACATTAATTATCTAGCAGCGTAATTAAGCATCATATTAACGAGGCTTTGCCATGCAAGATTTCAGATCTTATTAATTACTTCCAATATAAGTATCAAACCTTCACTGCATGTGGAAACTGAAGCTATGTCAGAGTTTTAAAGTCAGCGAAGAAATAGCTTGACAGTCCAATCCTCGTTATCAAAGAGAAATAGCTTGTTGCTAGCTCAAGTAGTGGCGGACCCAGAATTTTTATCAAGCGGGTTCAAAATATAAAAAAATAAATGTACAAAGACGTAAAAAAAAAATTATTAAAAAGGTGTAATTTTCTTTCCTAAATTGTGTATATAAAGCTTTCCTAGTCTAAAAAAGAGAAATAAGAAACTTTCTTAAATGTATACATAGAAATTTTCCTATATTGTATGTGTATAGGGGAAAAAAGAGAGTGCTGTATGTAGGGTAAAAAAGAGTGCCCAAAATACAGGGCAGACTGGATAAGAACCTAGGCATTCTGGGGATGTTGAACCCATTTTGCCAATGGACCAGGCAGTGATGTTGTGCTAAGCGGGGTCAAGAACAGTTATATCATAGCATTTACTGGAAGAAAGATAAAATATACCTATATATACAGTGTTATTTTCCGACGAAGCGGGTTCAGATGAACCCTCTTGACCCCATGTGGGTCCGCCCCTGAGCTCAAGGTAATCTCTCCATCTTAATTATTTTATATAATAATGGTGTTTGATCGGGTCACAAAATTTGAAAAAGAAGAAAAAAATTTGACACACACTAAAATACACTTTGTGGCCGTAAACATAACAAATATACCTATAGCTGGTTATAAGAGCATGTCAGAATTTAAGGATAGCTGCGGAGCCAGTATTTCTTAAAAGGGGATTTAAACAAATGAAAAAAGAAAAGGTTATCATGTCTTACAATAACTTTTGAATCATTTTTGCTACTACACTAGAAAAGACTTCATTATGTAATGAGATTCAACAATTCAAATTTATATATAATTATTCTTACCCTGCTTGAGTAATACAATTTTTAGGCAAAAAAAATTAAGATGGAATTGGATCCCCTCCTTATCTATAGCTTCATTGTTTATTAAGGGTTAAATAAAAAATTTAAAGTTAAAAAGGACAACCAGGCACCCGTTAGAAAGCTTTTAATTTTTTGGACCAAACTAAACATAGGGAATACTTAGTAAATTAACCAACCGGCCAATCCCACCAAACAAAAAAGCAAAACAAAACAAAGAAGAGTACTCTACAGAATTAGGGTTGTTATTAAATGACAAAACATGGCGATGAACGAGAGGTTACCCTGGACAAGAGGCATATCAATGATTGCATATGGTTTCTTGCAACAGAGTCTCCAATAAAGGCGAGAGATTTATCTCTAACAAGTTCCAGAAATTGACGAGGATCAAATATTGGCAGCTCGCAATCATCTGGTTTCCATTTCCACTTCAAGAATCCAGTATCAGGCCTCCCATATTTCATGCAATTTTGATGTTCTTGAATTTGAAAGCACGTCATATTTGTATAGTAGGGCCCTTCTGGATTTGGTATCCATTCCCCTGAGAATAAGTCGCACTTTTTAATTGCTTGAGGCGCCACTGAATAATATGAGTCACTTTTCGTCAGATTAGTTTGTAGACTTTTCTCATCTTTTTCTGCTGATGATATTATGATTTTTTCCTGTTGTTCTTCTCTACTGGTCAAATATTCCTTTTTCTGCGATACGTTATCTTGAAGTGGTACTAAAGAAGAAGAAAGTACTTGTGAGAATTTATTAGGATAATAAATGGGGATGAGAGTGAACAAAATAGCGAGGGCAACGAATGGAGCAATCTTTGTCGCATTCTTCTTTCGTGTTTGTAGTTTTCCTAATGCAAGCTCAAGATCTTGGAAATTCATGGAGAAATTAAGAGAGTGAGAGAAGAAAGAAGAAATAGAGATGTGACTTGTGAGTGAAGAAGCATTAGCAAGAAAGAGAGCTTTAATTTAAAAGTTCTAATTAATGTGCATGTATTGCTAAATTTATTAACAAATAATGGCCATGTGTTGACTAAAAGTTACACCAGAATGGCCAAGGCAGAAAATTCGTACCTTCCTTCTAATTTTTTGTAATATCACATGTTTGTTATTTTAAAAGAGTTAAGTTTAAAGTTAAAGAATTTCTAAAATATAATTTTCTTATTAGACTAAAAGAAAGAGCATACTTTCTATTGGTCGAACAAATAGATCATACGGGATATTTTCCTCTTTAATTTTTGCTATTATTATTCCATTCTATTATGAAGCTATATATCAGTTTGAATTTGCCTTTTTAAGACAACTAGCAGGGATACAGGGCGGATATATGTTTATGCAAGCGGTGTCACCCGATATCGCTTCGCTGAAATTTTTTACAAAATTATATGTAAACAATGGTGTTAAAAAATAAGAATAAGATTACATCAAGTTGACACCATTGACAAACAATGGTGTCTTGGTCCAGCGGTCACATTGGTTCCTTGGCCTTCAATGGTCCTAGGTTCGATTCTGAACAGGTGTTAATACCAAAATTTATTTGCTTATACAACAACCCAGTAAAATCTCACAGAAAAATTTATATTTGAATGTGTTTTATTAAGACGATCTTGTTTTATTAATTAGTTCATAGGTTGGTGAAAGTCGTACCAACTAACTGTAAAAAAAATTCTCTCCGTACAGAATCACATTTACTTACTAACGGTAACAAAAAGCCCTCCTTCGGGTGACTGGGGCATACCCGCCGACTCATGGCGACACCGACCGGTACTGAACTGGCGCGTCCAATGAAGAACATAGCTCCCACAGTTGGGGTGACCGACCCCATAGAAGGAATTAGTCCAAAACTGGACTATGCAACAACTATTGCTGCACCAATGAAGCCAAAATCCAACGGGAGGAGACTTGGTGACCCTAATGTCAAAGCTAGGGTTACTACACACAATGGAATGGCAGCTGTAATTTTTAAAGTGAGCGATTACTACGGCGTTATGGCTGAGGAGTGCAAATACACAATCATTGGAAAGTTTTTAAGGAATAGACCTAACACCGAACGTATTCGATCGGTTTTTGCTGAAAAGGTATCTCTAAAAGGGGATTTTAAAATTGGTGCTTAAGATTTCAGAACTGTGTTCGTAGATGTCACTAACGATGAAGACTGCAAAACAGTTTGGTTCAAAAGATCTATTGAAATAGATGGAATGATTATGTGGCTCCAAAAATGTTTGCCCGACTTTAAACCGGAAGAGGATTCTCCGATAGTACCTATCTGGCTTTTGTTAGCGGGGCTTCCCTTCCACTGCCACACATGGAATTACGTCAAACAAGTTTTGGGACCTGTGGGGGTTCCTTTATCTATGGACATTGCTACAGACTACAGATCAGGCCGAGCATGGCTAAAGTAAGGGTAGAAGTCGATCTCACCAAACCATTGCTCCAATCAGTTTGGGTTGGTACTGAAGATGAAACTCAACCTTTAAAGGGACATACTCAGAAGCTAGAATACGAAGGTGTTCCTAAATACTGCAAGTTTTGTAAATTGTTGGGCCATTCATTAGTTCAATGCAGAATGTTTGAAAAGGAGAAAGAAAATGAAAAATTGAGTAAACAAATGGCACACCGGGATGCCAAAGCTATACTAGAGAACAATACCATAAAAGCAGCAGAGGGCAAATCAAAGAAAAATGATGGAAATATACCTACTCAAGAAGAAAACAACAATGAGAAAGGGGAATCAAGTGTAAAGCAAATAAATAGGGCTAATAAGTAGAGACTGAAGGCAGAAACAAAAACAAAAAAAAAAGAAGGGAGAATCAGGCTGCAATAGAGCAAGAACAAGGTAGGAAGGAAAAGGAAAAGAAAGAGAAGAAAAACCAAAAGAGAAAGGAACTCAGGAAATTGAAGGTTAAGAATATTACCAGTTTCAAAAATACTACAGACACGATCATTAAAGGAAAAGGTAAAGAAAAGACCAGGGATGAAGTAATTGAGGAAGTGGCAAACCAAACGACAATAGAGAGTGCTGGAAAAAATCAGGAAGAGTTCAATAAGGAGGAGAACAGCAAGATGGAAGAAAGTAACAAAAACGATGAGAAAAGAACTACATGCTCCAGTAACAGGCGGATAAAGGCGGGCTCCGTCAATCAGGGTGAAGATCAAGTGCCTTCTAAGAGTGAGGACCAAACTTTCCGGGAGAAAACCGATGTAGAACAAGTAGAAGAAAGTGCAATATCTCCAGAAACTACTTATCTAAAGGGAGGAGGAAATATAACCATCAAGCTAAAGATAGTCAAAAAAGAGACTTCCATCACAGAACACAAGGAGAGAAGAAGCGACAACAGTATGAATACTGACAAAAGGAAACAGAATGATAACATACCGCAAAAGCCAAAAAAATTCTTAGCCAAGCAGCCAATTGAATCAGAGGATGCAGTTAGCAGGGAAATAGACAGTATTACGCAAAGAGAAGGATTATCTCCTAGAGGTAGATCTACAACTAGAAATAAGAAGCAACACTTAGCCAGGGTAGCCTTTACTGGCGAGTTGAAAAAGAAGAAGAATGTGATTTAGCCTCTATAATTCCAATGATTAGTTCTATAAATTGGAATATAAGGGGAGTTAAATCAAAAAAAATCTTTTGAAAGACTGATTCAGCTTGTTAATTTGTATAAAGTTCAACTAGTGACTATTCAGGAGCCTTTTGTCAATTCGACCAAGCTGGAAAACTATAGGAGGAGACTTGGCTTTCCAAATTCAGCTGCTAACAAGAATGGAAGAATATGGTGCTTTTGGAATGATTCCATAGAAGCCTCCATACAATCCAATCATCACCAACAAATCACCTTTTCCATGAAGTGTCTACCCTCTGACACCAACTTTTGGTACACTGTCGTATATACCAAAACCAAAGCCAGGAGAAGGAAGAGACTCTGGAATAATCTAAGATACATTAGTGAGAGGGTTACAGGCACCTGGGCAATAACAGGTGATTTAAATAGCATCACAGCTCCTGAAGATAAGAAAGGAAGGAGACCTCACAAGGTAAGACATAGTTTAGATTTTATTGAATGTAACGATGATTGTGAAATTTTTTATGCAGGTTTCAATGGAGATATATTCACATGGGCAAATGGAAGAAATAAAAGGAAGGGAATCAACAAAAAATTGGATAGGGTCCTACTAAATGAATCATGGGCTGACATTATGGGAAATACAGCAGTTACTCACTTGGCTAGGAAAGGATCAGATCATAATGTGCTCCTCATCAAATGCACCACTGATAATAGTAACCATACCAAGTGTTACAAGTTTCTAAACTTTTGGACTTCTCAACCTGGTTTTGAGGAGATGGTGCGAAACGTATGGAACATGTCTTTTGAGGGCAATCCCATGAGAATCCTCCAAGAAAAGTTAAGAAAACTAGCCAAAGAACTTAGTTCATGGTCCAGGATTTCAAGAGGTGATATTTTTGAGAAGGTCAAAAATTTTGAACTACTTTTGACAGAACAAGAACTCACTATGGACATAGATCTCACTTACCAGAATAGACAAGAATTGAATAGAGTGTCTGCTGAATACACCAGATACCTGAGTATACAAGAGTGTATCCTTCTGCAAAAGGCTAAAATTCAATGGAGAAATGAAGGGGTCTCTTGCTCTAAATATTTCTTCAGTGTCATCAAACATAAGAGAAGGAGAAACTTCATCCACAGGATTCGAGACTCCACGGGAAATTGGATTGAAAATGGCAATAACATAGGGGAGGAAGCAATTCAATACTTTAATCATTTGTTTAACAAAGACGATCACAATCCAGTTTTTGCAGTTCTAAAACAAATTGACAAAGTGATCACTGAAAGAGACAACAACCTTTTGACAATGATTCCAGAAGAAGAAATGATTTTTAATACTATTATGGAGCTCAGCCCAGAGAGTGCTCCGGGCCCAAATGGGTATAATGGTTTCTTCTATCAAAATTGCTGGAACATTATTAAGACTGATATTGTTAATTTTGTGCAAAATTTCTTTAGAGGCAAAGGGCTTAGCAGGTTTTTCACTCACTCATGTCTTATTCTTATCCCTAAGGTTAAGGCTCCTGTGAATTTCTCTGAGATGAGACCTATCAGTCTTAGCAATGTCTCCAACAAGATCTTGTCAAAGATAGTTGCTTCTAGAATCAATAACTTCTTGCCTAAAATAATCTCTGAGAACTAGACAGGATTTATTAGTGGTAGAATGATCACTAAAAATGTCCTATTCATAAAATAAAGAAGGCCAATTCTAAAGGCAACAAGATTATCAAACTTGATATGGAAAAAGCATATGACAGTGTCTCTTTGGATTTTTTGACTGAAGTTCTAAGAAAGTTAGGTTTTTCAGAAGCATTTATTGATATTATTATGAGACTAGTGACTAATGCTTGGTATACTGTATTGATCAATGGTGTTAGAAAAGAATTTTTTTTCACTCTACAAGGGGTCTTAAACAGGGAGACCCCCTATCTCTTACTCTCTTTGTAATTACTGCAGAAATACTTTCCAAAATGTTGAATAATCTTTTTCTAAAAGGGAAGTTCATTGGCTTTAACATGCTAGCTAATGCTCCTCAAATTAATCATTTAGCATATGCTGATGATGTAGTTATTTTTATTCTTGGGACAGGAGTTCGTTGAAAATGATTATGAGAAAATTAAGAAGATATGAAATGGTGTCCGGTCAGAAGATAAATACTGAGAAAAGTTATTTTCTCACAGTCCCTCATAGTGACAGAAAGATCAGGAAGAACATAAAAAATATCATTTGTTTCAAACACAAGAACTTTCCCTTCACATGCTTAGGAGTGCCTATTTATATTAGGAGAAAAAAGATTTGTTATTTTGCTGACAT